GTTGCTGACGGAGGATAACGTTTGGCAATGGACGAGGGAATGCCAGCAGTCTTTTGATGCAGTGAAAACAGCACTCACTTCTGATCTACTATTGACTCATTATAGTCGGAAGTTGGAAATCATCGTTGCCTTGGACGCTTCCAATTACGGTATCGGCGCCGCTGTTTCTCACCTTTTTTCCGAACGGAGGAGAAAAGGCTATTGCACACGCAGCATACTCCCAAACATCAGCTGAGAAGAACTATAGTCAGATTGGAAAGGAAGCACTAGCAATCATTTTCGCCATGAAGCGGTCCCATAGGATGCTCTATGACAGGCATTTCAACCTCCTGAATGATCAGTCATCGCTGTCGATATACGGCTCAAAACAAGGAATTTCCGTTTTTACCGTGAATCGATTGTAAAGATGGGCGACTATACTATATATAAGATTTCAGTATACAATATCGACCTACGCAACAAATCGGCCAAGCAGATGCCCTGTCTCGTTTCACCAATTCGCACCCAAAGGAGAAGGATGACTGTGTGGTCACAACCATCAAGTTAGTATCAGAAGTCCAGCGAATCCTGACCGATAATATCAGAAGACTACCAGTGACAGCTGACACTTCGCGCGGAGACTTCCTGAGACAGAACCCTAGAGAAAGTGATGCATTCCGTGCAATCAGGTTGGCCAAAAGGTGAGATCCCTGTTGACTTGCGGCCTTTCTTTAATCGACTGGGGTCAATATCCGTCGTGGACAATTGTTTGATGTTTGGAGACCGGGTGGTGGTGACAAAGAAATTGAACAGGCAATTCTTACAGCAGTTTCATACCGGGCATCCAGGTACCAACCGTATGAAAGCCTCTGCACGCAGTTTTGTTTATTGGCCCGGAATGGATTCAGAAATCAAACAATTCTGCCAAAGATATGAACCTTGTCAACTGGCGGCGAAGGCCCTTGCCAAGTGCTTCTGGCAACCTTGGCCCAAAGCAGAGAAGCCATGGCAACGAATCCACTTAGATTATGCAAGACCAATCGCCGGTCAATCCTATCTTGTTTTGGTGGACTCTTTCTCCAAGTGATCCCGATACAAAGTACGACGGCCCGGTACACGAGCAAGGAGCTGGAGAAGCTGTTTCAGTATTCCGGCCTGCCAGAAATGATATTGAGACAACGGTACACAATTTACACCAACTTCCTTTCGATAGTGGTGCAAAGAGAAAGGAATTCGGCAATGTTCTCATCACCCTATCATCTGCAATCAAACGAACAGGCGGAACGGTTCGTGGATATTTTCAAACGTGCAGATTGTAAAGCGGGACAAAACAAGGTCGCAAATGACGCGATTCAGTCTCTTCTGTGCATGTATCGGAATGCGCCAAACTCAAACGCCCCGGATGGAGCAGCCCGTGCCGAAATATTATTTGGACGAAAAATCCGGACACTGTCCGATAACCTTGTGTCAAGCAGAATAGAAAAGCACTGTAGTTGTCCAGTAGAGGGAAATCTGACAGACAGGTTCCGTCATTTCAAACTTGGTGACATGATGTTCGCGCGAGACTTCCGAGGACCGAGGAGAGGGTCAAAAGGAAGAGTGATCCACAGAAAGGGCCGAGTCATTTACGAGCTAATGGTAGGAAATGATAAATGGGTCTGTTGCGGGCACGTCAAATATTCCCGCAAAGACGCGCCAGAAATCCCGGCAGAATGGCTGTGGAAAGCGATGGCCAATTCATCCCCACAATGCAGCAGAGCTCAGCCACTCCGAGACGCGCCCCAACTGCGCACCTTTCGACAATGCTCATTTGCAAACTACCACCTCTGCGTGGTGAGTTTTTCCTAACTTAATAACCCAGTGCATTGGCTGTGATCACCCCTTTGTTGGTCGTAAAAGAGCCTACAGAGGACCACTTGCCTTTTCTCTCTTCGCCTCAGTTGGGAGTCGGTCGGGTCGCGTGATTGCGTGTGAGTCGTTAGCTGGCCAGCCTTCGCGTCTAAGTCATTAGCGTGTCTAACATAACCCCCCTCTTTTGTGCGTCCGTTCCGAGAGCTCAGCGCCTATCCGAACACGTGCGGCTAGGATCGTTCACACGCTCGCTCAATTATCCGCCTCAACGGCTAAGCTAGCGTTATCAGGACAGCGCAATTCTGTTCGAGTGGTCAGCGTATCAAGCCGTCATCTTAGGCGTGCTCCAACCGTGCCAGTAACACTCTTATCAGGCAAGTACGCAATTATCGCAGAGGCGGCGTTCCCTCAATTATAACAGTGGCGACTCAATTATAACAGGGTCAGGCACGCCAATCAGCTGAAGCCGGATCACAGCAAGACTCGAAGTTCCCCGGAACTACCATACTTACCGTGGGACATTCTGCTAGACACGTTTGGTTTGGAGGAGAAAGCTGAGTAGCTGCGTGGATCACAACAGAACCTGCAAGCATCAGCTGATACACAATGTAGGCCGACCTGAAAGCAGAGACGATGACAATGGCTACAAGTTGATCCCAAATCGAAAACCTATGAACAATGTTGAGTTCGGCCGGTACGCTGGCATACCCAGTTCGAAGGTAAAGGTAATAGAGACGTAAGCGGAGCACGTAGGCTGTCTGCTACATGTAAAGGTCATCAGCACGTGCGTGGGACGACCTTGGACATTTTCGCAGAATTTGGGAGACGAATGCAAACTGATCGGCCAGCAAATACAAGCCCGCGTCAAAGGAATCCAACTATTCCGTCAATATGGCAAACCCGTGGAGCGAAATTCACTCACACTGGTTGAAAATCAGACGCAGAAGAGTGAGTGACCTTGACCTCCAAAATTAGCATGTTTCGTTTACCAATAAATAGAGTTGATCTATCCTGTAGATATACCTCTCTGTCTACCGAGTTCTGGCCTTTTGTATTTCTTCGGTTGGCTAGGCGCGTGACTGAGCAGTCAGACAGTGGCAATCTCACAGGGCAGCAGTACAACAATTTCTCACTCGAGTGTTTACGGTATCGTAATTGCTTAAGTTGGCAAAACAATATTCTACTTATGCCCGTTGACCCGCTTCCTCGGCGTGCATTATACGCCGTGGCTGCACCAATTTGGGCGAAAAAGCGAGGTGGCCAGTCGATGACGTGGCACGGGTGCCCCGCGATGGAGACCCTTTCAGATATGGCGCAGTCAGTGGCGTTGCTGCATTCGGTTTCTTGCATCTAGCAGTTAATTTTCATTCCATCCTGATTAATTTAAAACAGCTCCTCCGTGATTCCATTTTCTTTACATTCTATATGCATGTAATATCAGTTTTTGCCTGTGTTATTTATCCTTATTCTGGCGATGTGAGTCGTGGCAACTGGATCCACTGCACTTCGGTGCCCAAAAAAGTTGCTCAACAAATTTGAACTGAACTGGCGACGAAGCGTGCAATCAGATTACAGTTTAGCTTATGTCCAGTGGGAGCACTGAGTGCCAAATGGTCAGGTTCGGCGTCCTGTTTATGGCGCAGGAAGAATAAGCGAACCATTCAACACCATTAGTCCACGCATCAGGCTTCGACGGCTTGGTTTTCGTATTATGCATGCCATCATGCCGAATCCCGGGAGCTGTGTTGCTTGCGTGCCCGAGAACTGGATGGAAAAGAGGGGAGAAGATCAATCGATGACTTAGTCAAGAGGAATAAAGGCTTACTTGGAACTTGATCTCGGTTCGTGCCTCCCAACGCTGAAAACAAACATTCAAAGCCAAGGCGCCTACACCTTGTGTCAGCAACATACCGTCACAAACCACTGGATACCATGCAAAAATAAAGCGGCATCAGCGAGAAAGTTTCCTTGCAGCTTTCACTGCCACGCGTCACACCCTGACATTACCCTGCAAATAACTCAACACCACACTTTAAACTGACACTCCGACTAGGAGACGACAACAGTCACACCAATGGTGTCGACGGCGAGCCAAGTCCTGTAAGGTATTGAGCCAAGCGCAAAGTGAGTCAGGTGGACTCCAGCCTGAAAGACGATAAGGACCAACAACCTCCAGTTTTTTAGTCACTGACTTTATTTCTCGCTGCCAAGTTAACGTTTGTTCACCTTGAGCAATGCTTCGTAGGCAACGACGACCAAAGTATTGAAAGCGCTTTAGATGGTCAGATCGAGCGGGAGAAGTCTCACTACGATAGAGAAGGACGGCTCTTAATGTGGTATTGTATACATAGTCTGTTAGACGGTGCTCCTAATGCCTTAGGCAAGTCTGCAACTGGGCCACTGGTTTTCGAGGTTCAAATTTTCATGCAACGATTCTTGCATTTTTTGACCATTTCACCACATTTTCATACAGAAGTGTAAATCATAACTGAATAACCAACGAACTGAGCACATGCGTAATTGCGTTCGCTTTGTCCTCAACTGATGCTTGCCACAGCGTCTTAATCTACTGCATATTCCGACCCGTAGCCTTAAGGATAACAAGCCAGCCTTGTAATCCGAGGGCGCGGGTGCAAGCCTGCATAGGGACCGGGCGACCCTCGCACTATCTTTAACCCACGTGGGAGTGGTGGTGGTTGTGCGGCAACGAATCGTGGGTACTGCGTACCGGGGTACTGCTGATACCTCTCACTTTCTCTCACCCAAAATAAAACAAGATCTTCGATCGTGTGCAAAAGAAAAGATCATCATCATCATCATCATCAACAACAACAACAGCAGTACATCAGCCATTTGAACTGATGTTTCGCTGCCATACAACTATGAGGACCTATGAAATAGAGAATAAGAAGAGGGAGAGAACGGGGACTTACCTGAAAACCTTAATGCCCTAAGCAAACATTCAGGGTCAAGGCGCCTACACCTTGTGTAGACAACATACCGTCACAAACAGCTGGCTATCGTGCAAAGATAAGGCGGGCAAAAGACAAGAACACATTGGTAAATCCATGGAATTACGCGTATCGGCAATCAAGACGAATGGTCGGCGGTATTTTGAAAAGTGGTAAGGATAAGGTATCCAAAATAACCACTTTTTAAATAAAACTCACTGCCGGTGTCTCATATCCCCTTCCTATCCTGATTAAAACGGACATCATATACCGTATTTGATGGTAGAGGAAACCAGAGGCGGAGACTGAAACTGAACACAGCGTAGTCGCTAGACTGAAAAGAAGCGAAAAACAACATTAGGCAGCGAACGGAAGTGCTCAGGGACGGTGTACAAAATCCACATTCGAGGGAACGGTTATTGTCCGTTGTGGTTTATCTGATTCTTATTGAGGCAGTAAAGGGATTCACAGAGAAATTCAATTTTCAAAACTAACCACATTGAGCTTGAACTAATGTGCTTAAGAAAAAATGGTATCGGAATCCCAAAGTGTGAACAGATAACAGGACGAGCCGGTGAAAAAATTAATGGTGTGTCAGCTAAAAACGCGTAGAAAGGAAAACGCATCATCGTCATCACTATACACGTTAGCTAGAGGTGGGAAACACCTTAGCTATTGTGCCGCAATACATGAAAGAAAAAATGCAACAGGTGCAAGCCAATTGAGGTACCCGTAACGGATGGACATCGTTCCGGTAAGCTACCAGCCGACTAATATGCAGCAAAAAATAGTTACTATGCAATATTATATAAGGCTAAGTAGTGAGGTCGTGGTTGGAGGGGAGATTAAGAGGGATTGGATGGGACAAAGAAACCCACAGCACGAACGCCATTGAGGTCGGATCCTAGCCATAACAACAAGTGTATCCAGCCAAACGTGTTCATCGTCTTTTGGACCACAACCAGAAAGCCGAGACGTTCCAACCGAGGCCAGCTTCGAAGTGTGGGCCTTCATTCCTCTCGACCAAGTCATCGCTTGGCCACCTCTCCTCTTCTTCCTTCCACCCCCCCCCCCGGCGCGCAAACAACACACGTCGCGGGAGTCGGTGGGCTGATATGCATAACACGTGGCCGAGTCATCGGAACCTGGTGCGTGAAATAACGGTACTGAGCGATTCATTTCCTTTTCCTGTGCCGTAAACAAGACGTCGAACACGCTCGTTGCTTACTAGGTTTTCCTACCAGATGTGAGCCAAATTGCGAAGGCATCGGTGGTCGAACGTAACTAACCTCTGAATATCTACGAATCTAATGGGCCAGGTTTCACAACCGTACAGAAGGGTCGAACGTACCGCTGCATTGTACACTATACCCTCTTCAGGGCAAAAGTGATGTCGCGCCAGCGGCATAATTGGCGAAGGTTAGCAAAAGCGCCATGAGCTTTTGCTATACGGTTCGTGATCTCATCTTCAATCCTACAAGCGCTGATACAACTTTCCAGGTAGTCAAATTCTTGAACGACTTCTAGCTGATGCCCACCAAGGGTCAGCGTAGGAGGAGATCCAGGCCAATCTTGGAGGAACGCTTTGCAATTCGAGGGTGCAAAGCAAAGCCCGAAGAAGCTGACAACCAGCGTAATCTGTCCAGTGCAGTTTGGCACGTCTGGGAGCTGTCAAAGATCAGGTCAATATCGTCAGCATCCTCCAAGACAAGAAGTCGTCCTCTCGGGAGTAGATCCACACCCTCTAAGTCGTGTACTGTAAAGGCAATTGCCCTGACTTAGTCAATAGCGAAGTTGAAGAGAAAATGTGACAGCGGGCATCTTTGTCTCACACCGCTGGGGATATTGAAGGGTGACGACGGCTGGCCGTAAGCCCTCACACTGCCTGATCCATGCGCGTATAATGCTCGGATAATATTTACATATTTCTCGGGTACACCTTTCCTGAGTAGACATTCCCAAAGCAAAGCGCATCTGATGCCGTTTTACTCAGGATATAAAACGGCACATGTGAAGAACAGTAGAAGGAAACAACCTAAAGTCGAAAGATGTACGCTTATGACAACGCAGTAAGTTCAATTACGACTCCAGCATCGTAGTGGATCAAGTTGGCATTTCTCACATGGTACAGGTAATGAAATGGAAATAGCGAAGAAGAAAGAGTAAACAAGCTAAAAACCATTAAAGTTATGAGTGACAGAGCCAAGGACTTAGCGACCGCGTTGTGCGGCCTAACATTAGGGTAGATTCTGCATCTGTGCAGTTGCTTCTGGGTGGGATGATTCTGTTACCATCTACGTCTGTCTGCGCGATTCCGGTTGAAATGAATTCGTTCCGTCAGCTTCGAACCCCAGTCGAAAATCAGAAGTCAACGCTTGGAGGCAAAAGCATGTCGCGGAACAAGCCACCGAAACGGATACAAGTAGTGTGAAATCAACGAACATTTTTATAAGTCAAACAAGGAAGTTTCGCGTAGCAGAACAACTAGATCAGTACCACTAGCAAATGGTAAGGTTGGTGTGCATGTCTTATGGACGCAAACGATCTTGAAACCGCTTGATATTTCGCCTGTACAGCATTAGCACAAGTTGTTTCCCCATTGGATTAATGAGTTTTGCTGGGAGATCATACTCTCCCTGACGGATACAGAGCATGTTCTTTGCACTTCTGAAGATAAAGATAAAGTGATAAGCTAGAGCCGATACCCTAGAGACTACAGCTATCGTCAGACGGCCAATCATAGTAGCCGAGAAATTCATTTAATAATTGTGGCTGCGTCAATGAGGGACATTGCTGTGGGTGTCAGCAATGCAAGTGTGGATGTCCAAAGCATCATTTATGATGGTGAAACATTAGCCTGTTTGTCAAAAACAATGCATACGACGCTCCGGTATAGCCGGTATCACTATATGGATGGAAGATACGGACACTTTACAGCGGGGCTTGGGAAGTATTTCACGTTTCTGGAGGGGCACGAGGTAAGCAATATTGAATTTTACCAGCCAATTTTCGATAACAGGTCTTCTGGTACCTCACTGGAGTGTCTTAAGATTGAGACCATGATGAGGGATAGGCAACGTACCTTGAGCGACCAGAAAGCGCACACGAAAGTTGCGCACAGACATAAAAGTGCATATGGAGAAATGCGTACGATGAAGAATGCGCACATTAAGAGTAAACACATTTTAAATCGAAGATAATGCCCATGGGTAGGTTAGAAAATAGGGTTGCAAAGAGAGCTCTCTCCGGCAAATCGCATCAGGCAAATACGTACAAAGTTGACGGAGAAAATTACGGGCTAATGAAAGCCAAAGTGAAAAGGACAAAGTGGTTAATATAATTCAAAAGGAAGTCAAATCGATCAGATCAGGTGGCGGAAGTTTGTCGGCCGGTGGTCAAGTGGTCTGCGCGTCTGATTTGCAACCGTAAGATCACCGGTTGGAATCCGCGTACGGGTGGGCTTCCTCGCGGTATACTCAGCCAGCGTGTGACTGGTGGTGGTCACGCGGCAGCGAAGCGCCGTTACGGCGTACAACTGATACATCATTATTACTAGTCTGACAACTCGCTGACTTCTTCACGAAACATGGCTCAGCCGAGATGTGAAAACACTCGGTCATCCTCAGTGTCTCGTGCGATAGGATTCACGTTGAGATCAAGGTAAAACGAGAGCTTACAACAGCATCTTCTGCTTACAAAGCTCTGGTTGCGTTAACGTAATCGCAGGCGCTTCGCCTATCTTTAGGATGTGTTTCCAATGCCCCTTTGGGTATTGCTGTGGCACTGTGCAAAAAAACGCGGAAAGCATCGTCGGTCGGAAGTTCGTGTCCGTTTTGAACCAAATGTGCAAGGATGGAACTCTTGATACTTCAGACAAAACCTTTCCACAGTGACCCGGGACAGTGCTTAGTTATCCTTGTCGACAAATGCCTGGTTGTATGTCCGAGACACTTTGCACCATAGGTGCAAGTAAACTGATATATCACATACAATTCAGATTTGATACATAATCTATCCTTAAGGTGCTGAGTAATAAAATAGGGGCGATCTCTGCAAGAACGTGCGGATTGGCTGAAGCATAGATTTTGGTCAATGCGGCGGCAAGTCTTCTACTCAAGAGATCGAAAGCGATGTCACCCCTAAAGGAAACCGTAAGAAACATGCTTTTTTGGGCTGTGCTGACAGGCTCACTGTGTTCACGGATTGTAGCATGCTGTTTGATAAATGAGGCAGGGTAGCCGTTTGAAAGTAGCGTGATGAATATGTCTTATTTCTCCTTTTATAGGGACTCAGGGTACAGATTTTGGAGGCGCGGCGATTTAAGTAGCGAACTAGGTTACGTTTATACCTCTGAGGCACAAAAATTAAAAAATGCATGTAGTCCCACCTACGTAGCCTTCCCGAAGACACTTCACTCAAGAGAACATGGTCACATATGACCATATTATTTATGTACTTTACATTAGGGATTCACATCGAAAAATGATCTACTGGACGTCTTTCTGGAAGTGAGCACGAGACAATAGGACTTATCGTCGGTACCGAAACACGCCACACCACGGCCGATCATATAAAATTGCATCCGGGTGGGGGGGGGAATAATTAGATACATCTCCAACGCTTGGTCCGATCTTCAGATTGAGCTGCATTTTTCCTCCTCACAAATGCCCGTCTAGCAGTTTAACAATTGTATCCATCACGGTATAACCCACCTTACTCTATAATATAAACATGTCAGTAATAGCTTTAAGAATAGAGGCAAACGCTGACCCATACTGACGATGCAAAAGTAACTAACAAGATTCCATAAAATTGTAGACCTCACAATAATATTGCAAGTGCCCGCACGGACAACTATGACCATGCATGCATGTCTAACCCGGTGTGAATGATGACTGGCAGCGTCCGTTCGTGGTTCTGTTCGTTACTGTGCTCTGCATGTAGATAGCCACAGGATGCCTGCGCTTAATGAGAGATGGAATATGATTGGCTTTCGCTGTACCACCCATAGCTCCATGCACACATATCATATCTGGTGTAAACCCGTAGGAATAACACCGGGAGGCAATTGAATGGTAGTCACAGTTCAACAACAGAGCCGGCACACACTTGTTCAACATTCACAACACTACTATCGAAGTTGCGAATCAGTCGCGTACCGAAAAACGCATGCTAGATGGAACCACTCATTCAGCCTAGCACAAACGCAAAGGCAGTACACCCGCAATGGGGTGTGATTCATAAACCCCAGGCTCACAAACAGTTTCCAGAGGCCGCAATGAAATTGAGAGTAAAACCTGCTCCATGTAGGCAGATGAAACTAACTTATTTCTT